GAGTGGTTGAACAAGCTATGGTATATGGATGTAATGGAATACTAGTGTGCAATAAGAAATGACAGACATATTTCAAAAAAACCTGGACTTATATGAACTGATGCAAAGTGAAACGAGCAGAATGAGGAAAACATAGTCGACAGTATCAACAACATTGTGTGATGATCAGCAATGAATAACTCAGCTCTTCTCAGCAACACAATGATCCAAGACAAGTAAAAAGGACTCATGAAGGAACATACTGTCCATATCCAGATAAAGAACTGGTGGACACTGAATGCAGATAGAAGCATTTTTTTTTGGCTTACTTTATTCATTCTCATGGTTTTTTTTCTCTTTTGATATGTTTCTTCTTTCACAACTGTGATTAATTTGGAAACATTTTTATATAATAGCACATGTATAAACTGTATCAAACTGCCTTTTTCAGAAGAGGGGTACAAAGGGAGGGAGAAAAATTTGGAACTCAAAATCTCATAATGAATGCTAAAAATGTTCTTGACATGTACTGGGGAAAAAATAAAATATTACAAAAATAAATAAAATTATCAGACAGATACTTTAAAATAGGAAAATAATTTCACTTTCTTTACAATTATCAATACAATTATATATATATATATATACTGCTTATCTGCCCTGATTATAGAAATTTGCTGTGAAAGGAAAAGGAGAGATATAGTTATAACAATGTCAAGTTTATTATATCTTAAAGCAAAATATACCCCATTATATATTTAACATTTTTAGATATATATTTTCATCACATTCTTTTAAAATCTCAATTCATACTCTAACAGCATCCAGGGTTTTTTTTTTTAGTTGTTTTTTTAACAGCATTTCTGATACAATGGTTTTCCAAATATCACAGTATAAGAGAGATGGCATCAATCTAATCTAATGCATTTCCAAACTATCATAAATAGAAAGTCATTTGTTTTATCACCTTTGGGATATTATACTAATAACATCTAAAACCTAAGAATTATAATCAATTAAAGAAATAATAATAATAATAATAATGGTGAACATTTATATCATGCTTACCATATGCCAGTCACTGTGTCAAGCACTTCACAATCATTATATCACTGATCTTCACAACAACCCTGGGAGGTGGGTAGCATTATTATTTTGTCCTTTACAGATCAGGAAACTGAGGCAAACAGAGATAAGATAACTTGCTTAAGATCACATAGGTAATAAATTTCTGAGACCAGAGTATAAATCAGGTTTCCGTACATTTTTTCCAGCATTTTCTTTTTGCATTAGATATCACATTTAATAAGAGAACACATTTAAAGAGCCAAATCAATTCCTTTTGTGTTCATAACCTAGTCCTACCCTCTCTTTCCCCGGAGGTTTTCAGTTTTCTTGTTGAGTTGTCTGAGTCATATCCAACTCTTCATGACTCCATTTGGGATTTTCTTGGCAAAGACACTGGGGTGGTTTGCCATTTCCTTCTCCAGCTCATTTTACAAATGAGGAAACTGAGGCAAACAAGGTTCAGTGACTTGTCCAGGGTCACACAGTAAGTATCTGAGGCTGGATTTGAATTCAGGTCTTCTAGACTCCAGGCCCAGAGCTCTAGCCACTGCACCACACAGTTTTTCATCCTGGTGAAAGATATGGAGAGATTCCAAGAGGCAGCCTCATATTCCCATCCCCTTGCTTTGGAGCTCACAAGATTCTAAAGACTGGGAAATACACTTGCAGAATGTTCTTTTAGGGGCAGAGTACTATATTTCCTAATCATATTCCCAACTATCTAAATAACAATGTTTCTCTATCTCTTGCCTGACATAGAAAATGACTTGCAGAAATGGGAATGATGCAAGAGTTTTTAAAAAGAGTTAAAATAATAAATTAAATGAGAGGAATAGAGGAAAGAATTGGAAAAGAAATGAGTGATGGAGAAGAGACTTGAAACAAAACATTAACAGCTTAACAGTTAAGAAGAGATAGAAAACCTTACCCTAGTAACAGATTCTGCAAAATTAGAATAGCTCAAGTAGAAATTAATGACTAGGAGACAAGATGTTGTGTTTTACAAGCAAAGCAGCAATACTGTTCACTGGTTATGACATTCAGAAGTGAACTTGGAGTAGATACTTTGTAGCAACCTCTTTAAATTTTGTCCCATTCTCCCTAGGCACTTCTATGTTATGGGGAAAAGTGTGCCCCCAGGTGTTGGGGAGGTAGGAAAAGTTGGTACTGTTCTTGCTATATCTTCTGAATGATAGAAACTAATTGATATGAATTTACATTAACATTAATTAACTGATAATAGTATTAACCATTTAATGATGCTGGAGCTCCAATCATTGGCAATTCATGTTAGGGAGAACACAGGGCTTGAGCCAGCACCAAGAAAAGGAAACTCTATTGGCCCTCAGCAATATCCCCTAGGACCCAGAAAGGAAAATGTAGCCAACCCTGCTCTGTAGGACCTTTCTCCACAGTGCCCATAAGAGTTGGGTTGATGACCAGCAGAGCTTATAAAGGCTACAGAGGAGTTTATACTTTATCCTGGAAACAATAAGAAGTCATTAGATGAGAAGTGACATAGGGTTATAGATTTACAGCTGGAAAGAACCTCAGAATCTAGTTAGGCCAACCCTCCTCATTTCATAGATAAGGAAATTGAAATATGAGAAGTAAAATGACTTGCATTACATAAGGATCACATAGGAAGCAAGTGTCAAACACAGGATTTCAACCCAGTTCCTCTGAATCACAGCTATAGCCTCTTTCTATTGACCCTGATGTGGTCAGAACTGTGCTTTAGAAAAAAAAATTTTTTAAAGAACTGTGCTTTAGGAATATTCATTTGGATTATATAAGGAGGGATTAGGAGCAGGGATAATTAGGGGGCCATTATAAAAGTCCTGACAAGAAACGATGAACTACAATGGTGGCCATGTGTGGAGAGAGAAGGGGATAAATGTTAGAAATGTGGAGGTAGAATGAATAAGACTTGAGAGTTAACGGGAACAGAGAGTGAGGAAAAGTGAAGAGTTGAGCATAACTCTAAGGCAATGGTTCTTACATTTTTGTCTCAGGACTCCTTTATACTCTTACAAACTATTGAAGACCCTAAAGATCTTTTATTTATTTGGGTTTTATCTATTGATATTTACCATATTAGGAATTAAAACCAATAAAATGTTTAAAATATTTATTAATTCACCTTCTTAGTATTATGAAAATAGTTTGACCTTGTTGACTCCCTGAAAGTTTCTCTGGAACCCTCAGAGGTCCTCAAACCATACTACACTTTGAGAATGGAATTCTAAGGTTATTAATCTGGGTTCTTGAAAGATGTAATATTCTCAGCAGAATATAGTGAAATTAGGAAGAGGGGTGGGTTTAGGGGAAATAATAATGACTTCTGTTTTGGAAATGTTGAGTTTAAGATGCCTGCAGGGCATCTAGTTAGAAATGTCCAATAGACAGTTGGTGATACAAGACTGGCGCTCAGGAGAGAGACTAGACTAGATATCTAGAACTGAGAGTCATCTTCATAGAGATGATAATTGAGCTCATGAAACTTGATAAAAATCATTGAAGGAGATGTATACAGAGAAGACAACAGGCAAAGGACAAAATTTGGGGACATCCATATTTAGGGGGTAGGTAGAACAAAGATAAAAATACAGCAACGATTAAAAAGGAGCAGGCAGAGGCTACAAGAACCAAGAGTATCTTCATCTTGATTTATCAATGTTGTCCTTCACGGACATAAAGAATCATACAGATAAAATGCCAAAGCCTAGTGGCCTGTAGCAAAACTTCTTTTTTAAAAGATGCTTCAACATTGTACATAGTACAGCAATGTTGCAACAATAATCAGTCATGACTTAGCTACTCTGATCAGTACAACAGTCAAGACAATTCCAAAGGACTTGTAATGAAAAATGCTAACCATCTCTAGAGAGAGAACTGATGAACTCTGAATGCAGACTAAAGGGTTTTTTTTACTTTTTCTTTTCTTTTCTGCAACACAGTTAATATAGAAATGTTGGTATGACTTCACATGTATATCGGGTATAACGTGCATGCCTTCTCAGTGGATGGGGGAAGGGCTGGAAGAAGGGAGAGAATGTGGAATTCAAAAAAATGGTAAAAATAAAATGGGGGGATGCTTCAATTCAGACACAAAGAACAACATTTCTACAGTTCTTTAAGATTTATAAAACGCTTTCCTTACAATCTCGTAAGTCAAAAAGTATTATCTTCATTCTGTAGAGGGGGAAACTAAGGCTTGGAGAGCAGAGAGGTGGCTTAGTGATCGGGGAGACAGTGTTGGGGCTGGAGTCAGGCCAGACCTGAGTCCAAATATGCCTCAGCAAGTCACTTTTTCAGGCTCAGTTTATGCTGACTGCACAGCTAGTTAAGTCCAAGGAAGGAAACAAACATGTATTAAACACTTACTATGTCCTAGGCACTGTGCTAAGTGATTTTACAAATACCTCATTCGATAAGTAGTATTATTGTCCCCATCTTACAGATGAAGAAACTGAGGCAGACAGAAGTTAGGTGATTTGCCCAGGGATACACACTTAAAGGGTCTACGAGTAGCGCTGAATTCAGGTTTTTCCCTGACTCCGGGTCCACCGCTCTATCCACGACCCCATCTCGCTGCCTGGGAAGTGGGTTTGAATCCAGGGTTCCTGATTCTATTACCCTGAGGAACAATCCCGCTTCCTCGGGCCATTTCCTACAGTTCTCCTTCAAGACCTAGGGAAGTTCTATTTCTCGGGTATCCTCGAGGCCGAGGCCAAGGTAGCACTGGAAGCCACTCTTGGGGGTGCTAGACTACTGCAAAGAAAGCAAACACTCAGCGAAGGGGCTGCACATCCACGCCGTCCCCTCCTCTCAGCTTGGATCGGAAGCAGCGTCCAGGACCAGCCCCAGCGCCCTCGAGCCTTCCCACCAGGCTGACCACCGAGACGCCCTCCCGGGAGGCGCGCTTCCTAGAGCGTCCCCGGAAGGTCGGGCGGGCCGAGAGGCCACGGACACTTCCGCTCCGGGGCCCCGGCTCGGCGTCCGGCAGGTGAGCGGGATCCGGCCTCGCGCCCCTGGGGCCCGCGGGGACGCGACCCTGGAGGCGGGGGAACGCCGCGCACGGCGCTGACGCCTTTCCCTGACGTTGCGTGCGGCCAGGCCGTGGCTTTGGAGGAGACCCAGGCCTCCGCGGCTCCGCAGCCCGGCCGGGGCTTCAGCTCGGGCCAGCAGCTCGGGCCTGCCTGATGAGTTTTCTCACGAGTCCCTTCTCGTGCCCCCGGGGAAGATGGTGGCATCTCGCCCATTGTACGGCACACTCTTTCATCCCTCGGATTGAAGGCTTCTGTTCTCACGGACTCACTAAAGCAGAAGGCCAAAGCCGTGCCAGAAACGATTGATCGCCATTTCCTCCCCCCCAGCCCTCCTTTTCGAGGGAAGCACACCGCGAGTACTCGGAGCCGGCGCTCCGCCTTGCTCAAATCTCACGTCTTCTCGCCCCTCTCCTACCCCTTTTAACTTTAAACTAGGCTTCATCTACCCAGGGAGAAGTCTAGTTTATACTTAAGAAACGGCTCCTCTTCGCCCCCATTCGGAAGAGTCTCTGAGAGCCTTGATGTAAATCAGTTTGGACTCCAGAGTTTGAACTTTGCTGCTCTTTCCTCCTCCAGTCGGCCTCCTGGGCTGTCTGGCTGTCAGCTCCCTGAGGACAGGGCATGTGTCTCTAACCTTTGTATCTGCCCCAATAAAAAGGCACACTCCTTTGTTCGGAGCAACCAGTGGTTTTTGTTGTTTTGTTTTGATGTCTCTGGAGGTTGGTTTGAAAAAAAAAATTTGCAAGGAGAATTCTATTTTTAGAAATGCTTACTTGCATTCGAAAAAGCAAGTGTCTTTATTAACCATGATTCAGTACAACAGATGTTTCTAAGTTTTAAAAGTTTTACACAGTTTTATACTGCTGTGTTCCTTAAAGAATTTGTAGTCTTTCTTTGGAAGATGAGATTTAAGTCATAAAATTAGGAAAGATAGAGCGCTACATGATTATTTGGTAAGAGGCAGGGTCATCAAGACAACAGAAGCAATACCAAGCAGAGAGACAAAAGACTTTAAGGGATGAAAGAGATATTTCAAAGGTCAATTTGAAGTTATCATTGGAGGATTAACAGAAGTGCTAAATAAGGAATCATTACTGTCTATAAAAGCCAAAAGATTTTGCTTAGTTTTCAAGGCAGTAGTTCTGTCAAATTAATATTTTAAAATATACTATTGTGTTTGAAGCACTACTCTGAACCATGTTGAGATTAAATGAGATGGTGGTACCCATTGTCTTAGAGATGTAGCATTGTATTTCCAAGACTATTAGATTTGAATTTGAAAGAGCTGTGCTCTACCACTTACTAGCTGTGACTCTTACAGCTTTACTTCTTGGGAACTTGGTTTCCAAATCTGTAAATGGGGTTAGTAACACATTGCCACCTTCATAGAACTCTTATTAGATTCAAACGAAGTAATACAGATGATGCGAACTGTTATTGAAAGGCAGCTTTGTGTGGTGGTTAGAGACCTGGCCTCAAAGCCAAGGAAGACATGGGTTCAAGTCCTGCCTCTGATATGTACTGCCTGTGTGACCTTTGGCAAGTCACTTAACCTTTTAGTGCTCTAGGAAGCTCTCTGAGCAGAGAAGATGCCAACCTGCATTATAGAGATTTTCTTCACCTGGGATTTCCTATATGAATGAAATCACAGATTCGTCCTTAAACTGCTATGGAAAAGTTAATCTATTACTATAGCTGTATTGTAGGAAAGAGATGCAGAATTGTCATACAAAATAGAACATAAATGTGTTAGATACAGTGTTCTGTGAGGTCCAGGAAAAAGAAAGATTATATTTGACTTAGGAGATCATTAAGAGCTTCATTCAGGAGTTGGCATTTGATCTGGATTTTGAGGGTGGGTAGGATTTCAATAGGTAGAAAGTGGGAGAGGAGACCAAAATCTCTTTTCAAGTACCTCTCCTTGTGCTACTTTTGATAGTAATAACAGCTGATGTTTACATATGACTTATGAGATTTTTGAGATATGTAATATATATCCTGAGCATCACAACAACCTTGTGAGGTAGATATTACAGGTATTATCCCCATTTTATAGATGAGGGACTAAGGTTTGGAGAAGTTGACTTGCCCATGTTTATACAGCTAGACAGTATCAGAGCTGGGATTCCAACCAGTCTTCTTAATCCTATGTCCAGCACTCCTATACTACCACACTGGCTCATCCCATTAGAGAGTGAGTGAGACTCCCAACTTTTCTTGTCCTTTATTGCTGAGAGATAATTCAGCACTTGAGGTTTTAGCTAAATGATCATTTCTTTTCTACCTGGTTCTTGACTTCAGTTTTCTTCATCCTTAGGTTCTCACCTGTTCATGAGAACAGGAATCCTTAAGGACTCGAGGGTTGGAGACTGGTCAGAGGTCCGTGCCTGCTCTCATTGCCATAAGCTTCTCTTCGCCCAGGAGATATCTTGGGCTTCATCCTTAGGAGTCTGCTCCTCCATCATCAGCAACATGGTACTCGGCCCCTCTGGTCTTAGAGATCACCTAGTCCAGTACCTTTGTCTCCGAGATGAGAAAGCTGGGACTGTGGAGAGGTGAAAGGAGTCACCCACAGACATGCAGGGATTTAGGGCAAAGCCAGGACTAGACACTAGACATTCCCTGTCAGGATGTTCAGCTTAATCTCACTATTGCTGTTTTTGGTTCTTCATCTAGATTTAGTCTGTTTCAGTTTCTTTTCAATATATTTGTTTCATAGATTACAAAATTGCCTACTTGGAGGTTTTATTCCTGTCTAAAATATAGATTGCCTTCATCCTAACTTACAATTTACCTTCCTCCCCCAGAAATGGAGATGAGGGTGGAGGAGGATAGCAAATTAGTGAATCTTTACTCTCATTGCATAGAAGCATATACCCTAAAGTGAACCATCGTCAGAAGCTACAAAAAGCTTATAAGACTTTAATAGACTTCAATTCACTCACTCGTCACCATATATTGGCTTGCCTTGTTATGGCAGAATTTTATAAACTTGTTCTGTAGTTTGTGGTTTAGTTTCAGGGTTTGGTGTTGTCATTTTTGTTTTGTTTCATTTTTTCCTTTTTAGCTTTTACTCATTTGTATAAACTAGTGTTATTTATTTGTTTCTTCCTGCTCTTAGCAAAACATTCCAATATCTTTGTCACCCACAAAGCACTTATTCACAATTTTCTTTAATTCATTTGAGTATGTGATATGTTAGAGTCTTGACTTTGATTCTTTGTTACATATGCAAATTAACATTCACAGAGGTTCATTGTGGGTTTGTTAATGTATCCATTGCCTTCCTCAAAGTCTTCTTTGGATGCCATATCATGCCACAGACATGACTCAGGGCTCTCAAATTTTGCCAGAGGAATATAAGCTCTAATAGGTTCTACTAAAATAGAAAAGCTTCCTGGACTAGCCCAGTTCTGAGAGGAACCTTGCCAGATACTGTAGTGTCCAGCTGGTGTTTATTTTAGTACAAGAAAAGGTCTCATATAGGTGATAGTACTTGAGATAAGCCTTTTTCTTTCTTTCAGACAAATTGTTAGTTTCACAAAACTGTCTATATCTTGCCACTTGCCAAGTAGCAGAGGTTCCCAAAGTGGGTGGTACTGCTCCTGGGAAGCCCTGGAAGGGTGGGGGTGGGATGGTAGGAGCCTCAGGTGCAATTGAGGGGCATTGAATAAAAATAAGGAGGTGATGGAAGCATGAGGAAAGAAGAGAAGGTGAGAAAATTTTGAAAAACTGTTCATACATGTTTCATTTGTTGTGTAACAGAGTTAAAGTTTCCAAATAAACACACAAAATGCAAGTTATTACCAATCAGTGGTCAAGTCCACTGACAAGTCTTAACAAGCAGGTGTTGGCAGGTAAGTGTGTCATGCATTGTTAGGAAGTCCAGCATGAATATGTGCGTGTAATGATTTGTTTATAGTACAATACTATACAGTTACATGATGCAGTATTGCGTCATCAAAATTTCAGTGCAAGAAAAACCCTACAAATTTACCATAAATTATTAAATTTAAGATGTATAATTTTTTAAAAAAAATTTATATTTTTAAAAAATGACACAAATTTTTTAAAAAAGGATTAAAGAAAGTATATTTCCAGGGGTGTGCTGATTAGGTTTTTTTTGTTTGTTTGTTTGTTATTGTTTTTAATTTTAAAAGAGGGTGATAGGCCAACTAAATTTGGGAACCTCTGATCTAGTCTTGTACACCTGTGCTGGAATTCCTGTTCCTGCACTCAGTTTTCTGGTCTACCTTAGTCCCTTTAATTTCAATATTCCAGGTGTTTTTATCTGATAACCCTTTCATCTGTACTGATTCAGACCCCAAACATCACTCTTTCTCCTGGGGAGGTGGTCCTTGAGATGAACCTTGAAGGGAGATAGGAATTGTAAGAAGTGGAGGTGAGGAAAGAGTATACCGTCTGGGTTACTAACTCTGCAAAGGAAGAGAGATGGGATTAGAATTTCATACATGAGGAAGAGCAAGTAAGCCAGTTTGGCTGGGACACAGAATACACAAAGAGGAAAAAAATTGCAGTTAGCTTGTAGTGGTAAGCTGGAGCTGGATTGTAAAGGTCTTCAAATGCAGGAGGAGCTTTTATGTTATCTTAGAGGCAATAAGGAGTTAGTGGAGCTTGTTGAGTAGTAAAGTGACATGGTCAGACCTGTATTTTAGAGATATCAATCTGATAGCTATATGAAGGATTGATTGGAGAGGGAAGAGCCTAGTGATACGGAGACCAATTAGGAGGCTATTGGATTAATCCCAGGAAGAGGTGATGAGGACCTGAACTAGGGTAGTAGCTGTGTAAGACTTAGCAACTGACTAGATGGAAGACTCAGGGAGAGGGAAGAGTCAAGGTTGCAAACCAGGTTGGCTAGAGGGATTGTGGACCCCTTAACAGAAGTAGGAAAGTTGACAATAGGATTTTAGAGAAGGAAATTGGAAAACATGCTCTGTTTTGGACATATTCAGTTTCAGATGCCTATGAGCTGTCCATTTGGAAATGGCTAATAGGCTAGTGGTAATGCAGAAATAGAACTCAGAAGAAAAACTATGATGATAGATTGATCTATCTGCAAGTCACCTGCATAGAGATTATAGGATCATAGATCCAAGATGGAAGGCTCCTGTGAGGACATTTTAGTTCATCAGTTTACAAATCAAATGAGATAACATTTGTGAAGCTCTTTGCAAACCTTCAATATAAATGCTTGCTATTATAATAATTATTTACGTATGAGGAAACTGAGGCCCAGGGAAGTTAAGTGACTTGCCCAACATCACACAAGTAAATGTCAGGCAAGATTTAAAGCCAGGTCCTTTGATTCAGAGTCAGTGTTATTTCCCCCATGCCATCCTGAGATGATAATTTCTTCATGAGTTCTTGCCAAAGCATACAAAGGAGTTGGTTTGGGGTTTTTTTGTGATTTTTAAGACAAGTAGCATCATTTCATGGGACATTTGATCAATGTGTTTATGATGAAAATTTGTGCAAAGACTACCATGAAAATAGTTGTAGCTTATGCATTATTGTAGATGATGGAGAAGCAGAGAAATTCTACCAAGAACTCAATGAGACCTTTTAAATTAGAGCAACTTGTACTTTAGTGCTTGGTGACTCAGCTGTAAAAGTGGCAAATTATATACACATACATACATACACATGCATTATATATGTATATATGTTGGATAATATGACTTATGGTTAAGAAAAGATGCCAAAGGTTTCTAGGCTACATAGAAAATCTAAAACATTCTAAGGAGTGCAGTCTAATCAGGAATGAAGAAATGGCTGGCCTAGGATCCCTTCTTAAATGGAGGATTTGGAAGGAGCTTTATTCTTCTCCCTTCACTTTTCAACCTTGCCTTTGGCGAACCAGTTCAGCTGTACACTATCCTTCACACATCAGTTTAGTCCCCCTTTATACTATTGCCAGCCATGCTTTGACAAGCCCTAGTCTTGAATTACTCCCACAATCTATTGCCTTCACTGCTTTTCACATAAAGATAAAGAAAATCATAAGCCACACTGACTGTAGCCATTACAAACTTGTTACATAATATCAGTTGGACCTTCAGTAAGTGTAGTAAGGCAATCCTTTTCTAGTTCCCTAATTGATTTACTATGTTACTCACCACAGTGGCTACTCCAGACCTTTTCATCCATTCTCAAGCCTCTCATGTCACTCCCTGCCTCAAGTATCTCCCATTCTGTCTATCCTCTAATCAGTTGCTAAAATAATCTTCCTAAAGCATAGGTTTTGCCATCTCAGTCCCTTCCTAATTCAGAAAAAGTTAACAGAATTGCAATGTCTGAGTGGCAGATAGGAGGCAGATCTCAGTGCCAGGTGATGGAAGGACTGAGAAAGGACAAGGGTTAAAATGAAAATAAGTTTGCTGATTATGGAGCAGACCTTCCATAGAGCACAGTAGAAGGGGCGGGTAGATCTGGAGTGGTATATTTTTGTAGTATGGCTGAATAGCAGAGAAGTGAGAGAGAAAGCAGCTGGGAGTGGAGAACTGGGCTTGTCTTCAGCAGCCTGGGGATCACAATCAGCAGGAAGAGAAGAGTCTGAGGAAGTGGGAATATAATAGTCATTGAGAAATGAACCCAGGCAGGATACCAATGGTTAGAGATAGGCCTGTTGAGAAAGGCAGGATATTAGGCTATTTGAAGTCTAGCCTTGTTGTCAAATGGTGATGTCGCCTATATAACCTCAGGAGGCTAGATGCCAGCACACAGGAATAGGTCCTGGTGTGTCCTGGGAGAGATCATTTAGGAGGCAGGAGGTAGCAGTGGAAATTAGGCCTTGTGGAGATGGGTTGTGAATCTTAGATGCAGGAAGGGTGACTGTATTAGACTAGTATACGTAGAATGGAGTCTGGACTGAAAGTGACATATTTGAGAGCATTGAGGCAGTAACTTTCAAGATATCTGAAAAGAGGAGGCTATCAAATGCATAGAAAAAAATCAGACATCACAGCTGAAACAAGGCAATTGGTAAAATATACCTGGTTTACTTCACCACAGATTTCAGCTTTAAGTATTCTGGTTGGTTTCTTAGTTCGTCCACTAGTAGCAGATCACTGATATCACTGGAACATATATGGACCCCAAGTGGCTGTTTTACCCAAGATGAGATAACTTCCTATTTCCACATCTCTCAGCAAACTATCCACTATCCTTGCACCTTATCACTCAAGGTCATCAGAGACCAAATTGCTTATACTGACATTGGTAGAAATAAAAAAATTTTCATCATTAATTAATTAATGTTAATTAACACATTAATTAATAGTTCGCACCATAGATGTCAATCCATTTTTCATTTTCAGTTTTCCTAGCAGTTATCTAATATATTTTTAAGCTTAGTAATACATACATACATACACATATATATCATATATATACATACATACAAACATACATACTTATAATCACATACACACATACACATACCTCTTGTGCATAGAAATAAATAAGTATTCCTCATATGGTTTGAACTTTAATTTTGAGCTTATCCCTGAGCCACCAGTAATGTGTTGTATCAGGAGCCTGTGACCTTTGAAGATGTGGCTGTATTTTTCACCCAGGAGGAATGGACGCATCTGGACCCTGCCCAGAGGGAGCTCTATGGTGATGTGATGCTGGAGAATTATGGGAACCTGGTTTCATTGGGTAAGATCTCATTCCAACAGTTAGCTTCCAGAAAAACCTTTCTTCCAAGAAAAATTCAAGGACCTTCTTCTGAAGCCAAAGAGATAGTTCTCTCTGACCCCTTCCTGTTATGTCATCTGTGTTATTGGGTTTTTTCTCTCCATCCTACACATGTAGGGCTGGATTTGAGTTCTGAGACTGTTATGATTTCTAATCACAAATGATAATGTTCCATTTCCTTCTCCATATTCAGGACTACCAGTATTTAAACCTGATGTCATCTCCCAGCTCAAGCTGGGAGGAGAGTCATGGGTGCTGAATGATCCTGGAATTAAGGAAAAAGAGATCTTTAGAGGTGTGTCAAGAGGTGAGTAAATAAGAGCCTGTCCCATTGGAGACAAAGAAAGAAAAATAACATAGTAACTTTATGATGTACAGTTTGAAATATCAGAGGAAAATTTTCCCTAGGCACCTCACTTTTTCTTCTGTGAATGCCAAGTTGCCTTAAAGTGTCCTCTCTTCTGTTTATTACCTTTTTCTCAACCATAATAATTTTTCTAACTCTCCTCTGTCTACCTCCTTAGTCTCTCTCTTCTGTAGGAATGTTAAGAGGGGGAGGGAGAAATGGTTTATAGGGTCTTTGGCCACCTATTTTCATCTACAAATGAAAGGCAGTCTGGGGTTCAGAATGCTTCAGCTATCTTCTATATAAAGAGAAGTACTGATTTGTTCTGAGATACTCTGTTACTAGTAAAAAGCTTCTCCTAGAGAGAAGGGATGAATCTTTTGCAAATTATTTTGCCGAAGTGGTCCCCATCTCTAATATCACTTTGTCCCTAAACCATTTAGTTTTGGCCATCTTTGATGACCTGTCATCTCCATTTCTGTATTGTGTTCACCCAGTTTACCCATTTATTAAATACCTGTTGTGTTTCATCCTGGGAGACATACAAAGTTTAGCTAAAAAACTATCCCTGCCTTTTTGGAATTTATAGTATAGTGAAAGATATGATACATACACTCAGATAACTATAATTATAGTACATGGTGTTGTATTAGAAATGCATTATAGGGGAGCAAGTTTATACCTGTTCAATCCTCCATTGTCAAACAAAACGTTATTTGTTCTCTTTCTTTTCTGGTATTGAACATCTTTCCAACCTTGGCCACATTTGTTCCTTTTTCTGTTCTTTCCTGGCTTTAAAAAAAATCCATACCTTTGTCACTGACAATCATGTGTGAATAGGTCTCCTATTCATGGTTGTTTTTACTATTAATTTAACTATTAATTTGTTTAACTGTATGCTATAGGCTTTCAACTTTGTTTCTACTTAAGTAAATTAGTTGTATGGAGACTATTATAGAGAAGTCATATATCTATTAAAAGGTTAGAATTTATTAGCGATAAAAAGGATACTGTATGAATGAATGAATGAAAGAAGAAGAAGGAGGGGGAAGGAAGGAAGGAAAGAGAGAAGGGAGGAAAGAAAAATTTGTAAGTGCTTAATATAGGCAAAACACTGTGCTATGTGTTTACAAATAGAAAAGCAAGATAGTTTCTGACTTCACATTCTAATAGGAGGAGTTAACGCATATAGGAGGGTTCAGCTATAAGGCATTGGTCACATATATTTTCTATATCCTTCTTAAATCATTCAGGCTTCCTGTTTCTCACAGTTACAGTGCTGTAATCACTGAAATCTTTATCTGTTAGATAGATTTTTGATCATGTCAGAAAGAGTGTCATACTGAGGTTTGAGTACAGCTATATCAGGTTACCAGTTCAAGATTTGACAAACTTTAATTACTGCCTGTTATGTGAAGAATACTATGCTAAATGCTGTGGATACAAAGACAAAAATGAAAGTCCTTGTCCTCAGGAAGCTTACAGTTTACAAGGGGGATAATGGTTCTTACACAAATGTATCAGGTTCTTTATGTTGGTTTAATATAAGGAAAGCTTCATAACAATCAGAAGTGTCCAAAAGTGGAATGAACTGACTTAGAAGATAGTAGTTCCTTATTATTCAAGGTTTTCAATCAATATATGAACTTCACCATAGTTGTAAAGATGATTCCTCTTCAAGTATGGGTTGGACTAGATTATTTTTCTGAGATTCTTTCTGATTCTGTGATTCTATGAATCTGAACCTTGGATGGTTCTCAAGATACCTGTTTTATCTTCCTCACTTTCTTTTATAGGATCATAGATTTAGAGCTGAAAGAGACTTTAAAGGGCATTGAACCTACCCCCCTCATTTTACAATGAGGAAACTGAGGCACAGGGAGATTAAGTGTCTTGCCTGTGGTAACATTGCTGGTATCTGAGGTGGGATTTGAATTCAGGTCTTTGTAACTCCAAATACCCCATTCCAATTAAAATTAATAATCTAGCAAATAAATTTACCTCTGTCAGAGAGAGAGAGAGCTCAGTGTCTCAGTTAAGGCCTGGGTGTTTTGTTAGCATAGTTGGTGCCCAAGAAGTTCTTGCTTCTTGTAAATAGGTTGTTTCAAGATCAAAGAGCAGGATTGGGCAGTGGGAAATTTATTTCTGCAGATGCAAGCCCCAATACCTTAGCCTTCAGCCTACTTTTATAAAGACCTGCAGTGTCTTCATCCCAGACTTAATTCAGAATTTCTCTACCCCAGAAAATAACAGGAATCCAACAGACTCCATCCTACAGCAATATTCTGTATTAGTAGATCCCTGTCTTTAGTAACTCAGCTGTGAGCAGTAATGAGTCAAAATCAAAAACTGCAAGGAGCTTTTAGATCTTTTCTAACCTAACATTATATCACAAGCTAGTGGTTTTTTTCTCTCATGGAATTCAAGGCTCTTCATAACCTTGTCCCCTCCCTTTTTCCAAGCTTCTCACCTCCCATTCCTCACCATGTACTCTTGGATCCTCTGACACTGGTGTCCTGGCTGGCTGTCCCATGAGCAAGACAATAATCTTTTGGCTCTGCATATTATCTCTGGCTCTCCCCCTCTTCCTCCTCTGCTCTAACTACTGACCTCTCCCTGGCATCCTGGCAACTAAAATTTCACCTGCTATAGGACACCTTCCCCAACCCCTCTTAATCCCATTGCTTTCCCTCTATTAATTATTTCTTATTTATTCTGTATATAGTTTGTTTGTACATATTTGTTTGCATGGTGCCTCCCCTGTTAGATTATAAGCTCCTTGAGGACAGGAATGTCTTTTGCCTTTTTTTTTTTGTATCCCCAGGGCTTAGCACAGTGCCTGGCATGTAGTCAGCACTTAATGTTTATTGACTGGCTGACTGATTCCTGGCAGGGATAGATATGCTACTCTTTATTTGAGAAGTAGACAGTAATATCTCCTCTTCAGTGTCATTTCCATTAGTTAAATCATTTTCAGTGGAAAAAGCAATGTGCTTACAGTCAGGAAGGCCTGGATTCAAATTCTGCCTCAGACCCTTATTGGCTCTATGTCTATAGTTAAGTCACTTCACTTCTCTGAACCTTAGTTCCCTCATTTGTAAAATGGAAACAATACTGGTATTACCTATCTCACAGGATTGATGTGAATATCAATGAGATACCATATTTAAAGCACTTTGTTAACCTTTAAGCACCACCAAGGTAGAAGATATCGTAAGTAGAATCTCAGTATGTTTCTCTTGCCCATTCCTTTGAAATTTGCATACACTTGTTTCTTTTGCTATTCCATTCACCCCCCTCCCCATTTGCAACTTTCTTGACTGTTAATTCATTTGTCTTTCATTCCAGATTCTTTATTTTGTTTCTTTTTGTAGAGAAGATGTCTAGCTATTCAAGAGCCATGATTTCATGGGAAAGAGGGTAAGGAGGAGACCTTGTGGATGATAGATTTTTACCTCTAAACTGGCTGCATGTGTATTTTTAAGTGTGAGTTTTTAAGTCTTGGATTTTTTTTAAGTCCAGATTTTAATAATCTAAAGTTCACAGAATTTAGAACTAGAGGGGATCTTAAAGACCATCTAGTCCAACCGCTCATTTTATGTAGGAGAAAATATTCCCAGACTGGTTAAGTGACTTGCCTGGTGTCCCACAGGCAGTAAGCAGCCTTGATTCCAAATCCAGTGCTCTTTCCAGTGCACTATTACTGGGCATTGCTTTGTGTGGCTGTATCTACATGCTATTATCACCCACATAATGATAGGTTTTTGTTTGTTTGTTTCAGGTTTTAAGAAAAAATCTGATGACAAAGATTTTTTTACTCTACTTTCTAAAGAAGTAAAATTGCATGGAAGGGTATCAGAAGAACTCCTAAGAGATGTTAACCAGGTCAGGGAGTTAGGAGAAGCCTATGAACTTAATAGCTCTTTAGAGAGAAAGAGAAGAAATACCAAAGGAGAGAAATGTCTCCAGTCTGCTTCCCGGAAGAGATTCCCAGCATGTCACAGTCTTCTACAGGAAAACAGTTAGACAGGAGAAAGGCAAAAAATATCATGAACTTGGAAAAAGCTTTGGTTACAGACCCAAACTTGTTATACATCAGAGACATTCTACAAAAGAAAGAGTGCATAAAGGTAATACTCGTGGCCAAAGTTTTGCCCAAAGTTCTGCCCCCATGCACTATAAGCAAATTCGTAGTAGAGAGAAGCATTTTAAATGTGATGAATGTGAGAGAGCCTTCACTCATATGGCAGCTTTTATACAGCATCAGAGTGTTCACACTGGAGAGAAACCTTATGAGTGTAATGAATGTAGTAAGGCCTTTAGTCGACGTTCAGTCCTTATTCGACACCAGAGAACTCATACTGGAGAGAAACCATTTGAATGTAGTGAATGTGGAAAAACCTTTAGTAGAAGCTCAGGTGTTAGAAAACATCAGAAAATTCATGATGGAGAGAAGCCCTATGAATGTGATAAATGTGGTAAAACTTTCGCTCATCTAACAGATGTTATTCAACATCAGAGAATTCATAGTGGAGAAAAACTTTATGAATGTCATGAATGTGATAAGGCCTTCAATTATGCCTCAACTCTTACTCGACATCAGAAAATTCATACTGGGGAAAAAAACCTACAAATGTAATGAATGTGGAAAATCCTTCACCCATTTTACAGGTTTTATGTACCATCAGAGAATACATGCTGGTGAGAAACCCTATAAATGTAATGAATGTGGGAGAGCCTTCAGTAGCAACTCACTTCTTACTGAACATTGCAGGATTCATACTAGTGAGAAAGCTTTTAAATGTAATGAATGTTGGAAAGGCTTCAGTTACATCAAAGGTTATAGTCAGCATCAGATAATTCATAGTGGAGAGAAACCATTTGACTGTAGTGAATGTGGAAAAGCCTTTAGTCGCCATTCATTCCTTATTCGACATCTGAGAGTCCATACTGGCGAGAAACCATTTGAATGTAATGAATGTGGTAAAGCCTTCAGCAGAAGGTCAGTCCTTCATGAACATCAAAGAATTCATACTGGGGAGAAGCCATATGAATGTAATGAGCGTGGGCAAGCCTTCAGTCAGAGCTCTACCCTTATCCAACACCAGAGAATTCACACTGGAGAGAAACCTTATGCAGGTAATGAATGTGGGGAAGCTTTCAATACCAGATCAGGCCTTAGTGAACATCAGAGAATTCATACTATAGAGAAGCCTAACGAATGTGATAAGTGTGGGAAAACCTTTGATAGGAGATCAAAACTTACTCAACATCAGAGAATTCATGCTGGAGAGGAGTCATGTGAATGTAACATATGTAGGAGAGTCTTTACTTGCCATTCACTTCTCAGTCAACACCAGTATAATTGCACTCAAGTTAATTTGGAAATGTGATGGAAATGTAAAGGAGAACTTTGTTGATTGGAGTTCATAATAGGTTAAAATCCCATAACAGAATGTAAATTTTTTAATGGCAGTTGCTAATTTTTATTCTAATTTAGTTTGTACAGCAATCTAGCCCAGTGCCAAATGCAGAGTGATAATAAAATATGTTTTTGGTGATGGAATTATTAGACTGATAATTATATAGAAACCTTCAGTAATAACTCCTCCTTCAGTCACAATGAGAGAATCTCAATCCAATAATACCTAGGATGATAACAAAAAGGAATATTAAATTTCTGCTCTGACCTTGCTCTTTGCCCAAAAGTGGTATGAATTGGATAAAACAGCCTAACCTCTCTCCCAGTGGTACCATTTATCCCCTTTGAGTTTGGTGGTACCATTGCCTGGCATTGGGAAGTTTGGCATCAACAACTGTGTATAGGGAGTGTGGCAACATCAGAAATGTTATATGTTAAATTTCTGAATGGTGATATTCTTTTTATTTTTTTGGCCAGGCAATGGGGTTAAGTGACTTGCCCAGGGTCACACAGCTGTTAAGTGTTATGTGTCTGAGGCCAGCTTTGAACTCAGATCCTCCTGAATCCAGGGTTGGTGCTCTATCCACTGTGCCACCTAGCTGCCCCAGTGATATTCTTTAGGCTATTGAAAGTTTGATTTGGAGAGACTGGAAGATCTTAGAGTTTGGAATGGTCCTTAGAGGTCATCGAGTCCAACTTGTAAACAAACAGTAGCTCCCTTTACACAATAATGGTAGCTAACAGAACCTTGAAGATTGGCATCTCTCTTTCCATACATCATCTTATTCAGTCCTCACAGTACAATAGCTCTTCGGGGAGGTATTACAGATATCCTCATTTTATAGGTGAGGAAAGACTCTCAACGAGGTGAAATGACACGCCTGTGGTCATACAACTAATTTCAAAGGTAGAATTCAAACCCAGATATGCCTACTCCCAAGTCCAGCATTCCAGCTCTTCTGCCTTGCTGTTGCTGTTGTTCTGCCTTCTTGAAAAGCCTCTGCTTAAAGACCTTGTGTGATGGAAAAGCCACTATTTACTGAGGCAGCCCATTCTACTTCTGAACAAGACAATCTAACTAGTGATACGTGTTTTCCTTATATGTCACAGAAATCTGTCTTTGCAACTTCCTTCTGCTCCTGTTTCTGTCTTCTAGGGCCAAATGGAGGAAGTCTGATACTTCTTCCACAACCTAACCCGTCATCTACTTGAAGACAGCTATCATGTTCTTCTCTCTTCTGAGTGTTCTTTCCCAGGCTAAGCATTCCCAGTTAACTGAGCTTCGTCTGGAAAGATCTTCAGGCAGTCCTCACCATTCTGGTCCAGCACCCCTGGCAGCAACAGAGGAGGGGAGACAGGAAGGGCAAGCTGTCATTGAGAAGGAAGGCATCTCTGTGTCTACTTTTGAGGCGTTTCATTATGTTGTTGAAGTAATGGAAAACTATTATTGTTTATTGTATTTCCTGAGGATAAAATTGGTATCTCTTTCTCTTGGTTGGGGGAGGGGGCAGGTGACTTACAGATTAGAACCTGATTTCATGTGCTCATTTTTTCTGGCCTAATTAACCAAAGTAGATTGAAAAAATGCACGTTGATGTGGCGACTTGAATATTAGCACCTAATTGATCAGCTGAGCTTCTGGGTCCCTATTGTGACCATTCAGTGGCTGTCACTTCCCTCGAAAGACCAGGGCCAGCCTGCTTGCCTCCCGTGTTTTAGAAATAAAATTTGGTATGGGTATGGGTAATAGAAATAAATCTTGGTGTGGGACAAGAGCCATTTTTGGTTGGAGTCAGAATGGAGCCAGAAAGCTGGTATTGTATCTAATAGCTAGAAGAGATCATGGATATCCTTAATTTTATAGATGAAATGAAGCCAGAAAAGTAAAGTGTGTTGCTTAGTAATGTGGCAGCTAGGACTTAAACCCAGGTCTTCTGACTCTAAATCTCTGCTTTTTCTATTACATCATGTTGTTAGAGCCCTGAGAATCATGAGAGGCCAAGACTTTGGCTTAGGAATGTTTTCTGGATGAGATAAGTTGTAAATTTGGTGGCCACCCAGGGTAAGCATTTATGCACACTTCTGATTATGTTCTGATTATCAGAATATAAACCTTGCAAAGAAATCTCAGGAAATGATTCATCAAGCCATGGTGACATGTTGGCAGAGAGGTAACCTAGGAAGAGAGTAGGTGTTCTAGTGCCAGTGAGCCCAGGGAAGGTGACAGCAGAGAAAAAAAAGACAGATACATAGAGATTAGGGTGGGCTAGGTCTGTGAACCCAGAGATTGTTACTATCTTAGTGATCAATAAGGTCAGATATTGTGTATCTAGGTTATCAGGGTTTAGATTATAATTTCGAACAGTGGTTCTCAAAAGGTGTGCCAGGAAACTCATTTCCACGTTTCCTAGCTTCAATTTGCTGCATGTTCTTCCCAGCTGAGATATCCTACTGTGAGAGCTGCCTTCTACCCTTTATGTGCTGGGGAAGTAAAGAGGGAACAGGGGAGCAGAAAGAGAGGCAGAAGAATCCTAGGTCCCAGATGATGGATTTGGAAGTCTAACTGTCCTTTTTATGTTAAATGTTCATTATAAGACAGTCCTTCAAAGTGATTAATATTGTGCCACGAGCAAAAAATAATCAAAACCCACTGATATAGAGGAATCTGTAAGCCAATGTCCAGTGTTTCCTGAGAATGATCGACGAGATCCAATTCTCTATGGACCTGAGGTCTTTAATGCACCAAGGCTTAGAGCAATTTCTTGTAGTCACACAGGTCAGTCAGGCAGCAGTCAACAAGAAGTTAGATAGGAGTGAGAAGTCTCAGTGATATGACCTTTTGTGAAGGAGAAAGGACCAGAAGCTCAGAGCTAAGATTTAGAGGATGCCATGAGTTATAATGGTAACAGAGTAGACTGTCACAGAGATAGACAAGTTACAGAATGTTAGAGGTAGAAGAAGCTTTAAGGGACATCTAGCTAATGCCTAATACCAGGTCACTCAGATTATAAGTAGCAGAACTAGAACCTAGGTCTTTGGAATCTTTCCATTACATGAGATTTTTACATTTCAGGTTCACTATACTTAGAAGTAAATGCTAGGCTCTGTGTGGCTCTGAATCCTATTCTACACCTTTGACTTCCTTGTTCTTGTACTATTCATAGCTTTTCAATATAAGGAGAATGGAAGGAGACATCTTGAATAACTATGACTAGGAGAAGAACTCTTAAATAAACAAGGCAAAGAAGTGATCATGGAACATAAAATGGACAATTTTTATTACATAAGTTTGGAAAATTTTGCATAAACAAAATTAGAAGAGAATCAATTAGGAAAAAAATATTTGCAGCAAATATCCCTGATAAAGGTCTAATATACAAGGCATATAGGGAATTGATACAAATATATAAGGACAAGAATAATTCTCCAATAAATAAATGGCCAAAGGATATAGATTTTTCTTTCAAAAGGACCACCTCTTTCTCAGGGACAGGTATAACAATATGGGGATAGGTAAAGATATTCAAGGGTTTTGAGATATGGTATAGAGAAGAAGCAGCTCACTGAATATGGCTTCTATTTTCTAAGGAGGAGGCAAAGATACTGTTATCTTAGACTGCATTGAGAGATGCAGTATCCAGGAATAAGGAGGCTATGATAGTCCCATTGTGGTACTCTGCCCTGGTCTGATCATATCTGAAATATTGTGTTCAATTCCTGGGGCCACATTTTAGGAAGGATATTGATAGTGAGAGAGTGTTCAAAGGAGGGCAACCAGGATGATGAAGGGCCTTCAGTTCATGCCATATGAGGATCATGTGAAGGAACTTGAAATGTTCAGCCTGGAGAAAAGAATAATTATAAGATAGATTCAAATGGTGCTTTAAGATTTGCAAATCACTTTATAAGTTCATTTGAGCCTCCTAACAGCCCATGAAGTAGGCGCTTCACATATTTTCCCCATTTGATGGAGTGTTTATGTAACTTGCCCATGCGAAGATTTAGAGAGGACATGAAGCTGTCTCAAAGTATGTAAAAATCTGTAACCTGAAAAAATGGAATAAATAGAACTGTCCAAAACTGGAATGAGCTACCTTGGGTTTCTCTGCACAGGAGATCTTAAATATGAGAAAATTGTTTTATGGAATTTTGGATCAAACAATAGTTAGACCAGATGGCTTCAGAACTCCCTTCCAATTCTTGAGATTCTTATTATCTATAAATACTCATCCCTCTCTCTCCTTCCTTCCTCTTCTTCCATTCTTCCCTCCTTCCCCTCCTTCCTCGTGCCATGAGGATCAGTTGAAGGAACTTGAGATGTTTAGTCTGGAGGAGAAAATAATAATGAGATAGTCATATGATGTTCAATATTTATATTTGAGCCTCACAACAACCCATAAAGTAGACACTGTAGGTATTACTATCCTCATTTTACAGATGAAAATATTAAGGCCCAGAATGTTTTACTTCCTTTAATCATAAAACAGTTACATGCAAATTAGCTAAGGTACTCATCACCGTTGGAAGCTCTGACACCTTTAACACAGTTGTCCAGCTATTTAGTTCACTATTTCTTTTCTTATGTTTCTCTAGGTTTTTATAAATAAAAGATCTTTCTTTTACTTTTTATAAGCTTAAACTATTCCCATATAAACAAAGGATCATTCTGCATTTTTCACAAAGGAATTTTAGTCTTTATATTTTATATCATTTTCTACCCCAAACTGTCCAAAGCCTGTCTGAAGGCTATGTTTCTTCATGAACAACTGTTAGCAGTGTATTATTAAAACAGTTTTTTCTATTAGGTAACACAATGTTCATCTAGAAAAGTAGCAATATCTTGCATCCTTTGAGAGTTATAAATCTCTTCCTTTTCACAAAAACATTTTTTCATCCCTTGGGTACCCCCTTGAAGTACAGTTTTATGATGCTGTGTAGGGAGATATGACTCCTTATTGGCTGAAGGAGGGGGGACAGACAGAGACAACACTAAGAAAAGTTGAGGAGAGAGGACAAGGTAAAGAGACAAATCACAGACTTTGAATAGCTAATGGGAGTTACTAGAGCCACAGGCATGTGGGGAAATCCAATACTCCAACATATTCTAGTAGCTGCACCTATAGAGACTGCTAAGAGCAGACATTTTCAGTGAGATCATTCTCTT